TGTTTTTTTATCAGAACTGGGTTTAAGAGAGATGATTTGATCCAACCCTGATTTTTAAAAGCCTGTTGTATTTTACTGAGATTTCATGATATGAACTTTAAATGCTTTATTGCTCGTCACTACTTCTCAGCCTTTTTTTTCTTTGGTTACTTACTGAGTTGGCGTACTCACGTTACTCCCTGCACCTTGTGTGCAGATCCAGGCGTATTAGGACCCGGTAGCAGTTGTTGGCTATTCCAGTTGTAGAACTTCTAAGGAGTTAGCAAGGTAGCTGCTGGCGATCATAGCCCTGCTCTTCTCCCTCCTATCTTCCTATAGTTGTTTTGTAGCTACCTTCCAGACTGTGCTAGTTTCAGTATTTTCGGACAAGTTGTAGTAGATGCTCATGACTAGTGACATCCCGATGTCAGCTTTTCTTTCTGCACTTCCGTTGTTCGGAATTTCTCTATGAAGCTTTATTATTAGATAGCTTGAATTTATCTTTGAAATGTAATATCGTGTTGTTTTTGATAAAGAGTCGGCTTTCCTACCATCACGATATGGTAGTTTGGGTTGTGACAATGTATGAGCATTTGTAATACAATAGCTCTCACTTTGGCCAAGCTTTCACTTTATTTCTATGCCAAGTTGTTAGATTCGGGAACACAAGTTATGTTGGTGTTTGAATTGTAAGTTTCATGGGGGCATGTTTCAGTCCATTCGTTTCAATCTAAAACTAATTTCCACTCTCCTTTTAAATGTTCAAAAATATTTCTTATGTAATGGATCAGTTGTTGATGAAACTGTGAAAAATGTATAGGTTTAAATGATGAGTATGCTAGAAAGGTTTAGAAAGAATATCTTTTTTTTGTGAGGGAATGAAGTGTGCTTGTGAGGTTTAATGGAGAGGATTAGTGGAAAGAATATTTTGTGTGACTTATGTTGGCCGCAATTCGTATAGTTAGCTCGTTAGATGAATCGTCCTCTATTAAGTAGTAACTTGATTTGAGATTACTCTTTCGGAATTCATTGAATAATGACATGGTGTGTATCGGGATGTTTAGTTATTTTGTTCTTAAGAAAACTGAATGTGTTATGATTTATTTGTTTGATTTGTTAGTTTTCTTGTTAAAATTTGAAATAAGATATAGTCTTGGATAATCTGATATGTGTGGGAAAATTGAATAAATGAGTAGGATTGAGAATGAAACTTACTACACCACTGCTTGAGTTGAAGTTTATCGAGCAAGTTAATTGGGTGGTAGTATTGAGTATATAAAAGATTGAATTAATAAAATTCTTCCATTCCAAATCTTAATAAACAACAACAACAATATACACAGTATTATCCCACACTATGAGATCTAGGGAGGGTAGTGTGTACGCAGACCTTACCCCTACCTTGTGGATAGGGAGGTTATTTGCAATAGACCCTCGGCTCAGGAAAGCATAAGCACCACATTATTGAAAATATAGACAAGAAGGGACAGTACCAAAAAGCCATATAAAAGCAGAATAAAACAACAAGATAGTAAGGTGATCAACAATGAAAGAAAACAACAGAAACCTACTACCAGCGAAAAGCAATACTGCGTGCCTGTACTACTGTTATGAACACTATAGACTACCTACTCTACTACCCTAATCCTCGATCTCCATACCTTCCGATCAAGGGTCATGTTCTCGGTCAGCTGAAGTTAGGGATGGCAAAAGGGGCGGGGCAGGGCGGGGCGGGGCGGTTTTCAGCATTCGCGGGCGGGCGGTTTACAATGTTTGCGGGGCGGGCGGGGCGGGTAGGGTCCTAAAGTTTTTTTTAAAAAAAATAACGCGGGGCGGGGCGAAGAGAGAAGGGAAATTAATGAATACCTTTTGCAGTAGTGCTCTTGCGTTCTTGAGCTCTATATTGAAGTAAAACATATGGATCTATTCCACCACTGCACCATATATAGCAACACCAATTCATAATACCAACTATTAAATCAAAATACTCAGAAGATGTCACAATTTAAACGACACGAATACTGTTTGAAAAGTCAATCTTCTACTGAATATACTTATATAAAATAATTAATTTATAATACTATATTAAATGCAACTTTGCTCATCCTACAGCAAAGTAGCAATAAACGAAAGAGAACACAAGAGTAATGAATCAATACCCCAGAATTCGCTGTTTTTGAGACCACGAGCGTTGACAAGATGAATCAGTAGTCAAATTAAAGAAATTACAAAATATTAGTATTTTACCAAACTACTAATATGGATTTAAGAAATTACAAAATATTATTAAAAGGTACCAAATTAAAAAAAATTAAAAAAAATATATGCGGGGCGGGGCGGGGCGGGGCGGTTAAAAACAATAAATTTTGTTTTGCAGGGCGGGGCGCGCCGGGTTGGAGTCTTTGCGGGTGTGTGCGGGTCTGCCCCGCAACTGCACCGCCCCGCACCGTTTGCCATCCCTAAAAGAGGCTAAATGGTGCACTGGTTGAATGGTGAGTTATTTACCTAGAAGAGCAAGGCTCAAATCCCACTTAATATGTTTTATTCTCTCCTTTCTTTAGTGGTGCATCGTTGTTATAAAAATCCTAGATCCGCCTCTGGTTGAATAGAATATTGTGCCCTCATTGCGTAAAAATCCTGAGTCCGCCTCCGATCACTCCCCTTAAGAAACAATAAATAACATAGTAATTTTACTATATCACCCCTATTAATTATCTGTTGAAAAATGAACTGAAAATAAGTGGTACTTAACAAGAACGGTAAAATAAGTATAAAGTAGCAAATTATCCATTGGTTTTTCAAACTGGATAAGTAAAAGTAAAATCTCTATTTTTAGTACAGTGAACAAGTAAATTTGGACGGAGGAAGTATTTATATATTTTTAATAGATTTTCTAATACAAATATAAGATCTAAACAAAAATTACTTTATCCGAACTCTATACCTAATGCTCTAGCTCCGCCTCTTTTTATGATCTCCATCAAATGCATGCCCCCACATAGATTAGTTAATCCCAAGGGACACAATAAGAACTCACTTTACATGCAGTTTACAAAGGAGCCCCACAAAGATAATTTTTTATACACACAGACCCTAAGAACTTTAAAAATTGATCAAAAGTACTTATTTTAGCTAGGATTTGGGTAGATTACTCATCATTAGTTTTCAATAGTTTATTTAACTGTGGGAGCAGTTGCAGACTTGAATTTTCACTTTTTGACGAAAATTTTCCTTGAAATTGCAGAAAAAGACATAAATAGAGCCGCAACTATAGCAAAAGGCCATAATTAGCATCTTTAAGAGCAAATTATTGGAGTGGAATGCTAAGCAAGTTAGCCTGACAATTTTTTCAAAAAACAAATTATTTCGAATTAGTCTAATGTGTTGAAAAATTTCTCTTAATGTCAACATGAAATTATAAAGACTTGACCTTAAAATTGCATAATTGAATTTTTTTGGTATAGGTCACTTGATATTCAGTGCTCACTCGCACGATTAATTCATATCCGTGCAGCGTAGGGTTCATCAAAGGAGAAACGCATTTTACTAGGGGTTTTGGTTTCTCCATTCACACTGCTCGAGCTTGAGCACGAGACCTCGGATTAAGAGTGTTATCCTAACAACTTTTTCCAATGTACAAAGACCTGGGACTGTGGATGGTTTATTGTCTTAATTTGTTGTTTAAGTTTCACCTTGTTATTTCGTCTATTATCTTAATTTAAACGTGAAATTACAAGACTTGACTTAAAATTGCATAACAATATTTTTTGGTATAGATTACCTGATATTCAATGCTCACTGGCACAATTAATTCATATTCGCGCAGTGCAGGGTTTATCAAAGGGGAACGTGCACTCTACTAGGGGTTTTGTTTCTCCATTGCCACTACTCGAATTCGAGCCCGAGACCTCCGGATTAAGAGGTGATGGGATTGGGGGTTCATGATGACAACTTTTTGTACAAGAGACCTGGGACTATGGTTGGTCCTTTTAGCATAGATAAAGTTTTGGGGGGGGGGGGGGGGGGGTTAGGTATGTGAGAAGCAGCAGGAGAAGAAGTAATATATATATATATATATATATATATATAGAGTTCGAACCAAAATTATTAAGTCAGAAACGGAAGCATCAGTCGGCTATTATTGGGTGCTTGATTTGGTCCTATGAAATAGTGAATAAAAATGTCACAAAAAAAGAAAAAGAGGAAATTGCACATAAGATTATCATCATTACTACCATCACTAACTTCAACTCACACCCCACACTTAAATTCCAAACAATTCCCTCTTTCACTTTCTTGTCTTCTCCTCTTCCCACTTCTTCTTCCCTTTTTTGCACCTTCTTTTTCTTGCTTCCTACCCCTACACCACAAACCTATATTATGGCACAACTTAAAAATATAAAAGAAGTAAAAAAAAAAAAGGTACAACTCAATATTTGGTATGAATTTAACTTTTATACAATGACATTATAAAAAGAATTTCACACTATCAAATCAGTAGAAGTAGCCATTAATGCTGTAACAGGGTAGGGTGTCTAAATCATACTCCTTGGGGTGCGGACCTACCTCGGATTCTACGCGAACGCGAGATACTTTATGCATCAAGCTGCCATTTTTACTATAGAATCAGCTAAATAATAATACTCTCTCCGGTTCACAATAAGTGACCAATTTGCTTTTAGCACGCCCATTAAGAAAATACTAAATTCTATACAAAAATACCTACTATGACTAAACTACCCCTAATTAAACATTTAATGTAAGGAGTAAGAAAATTTTTTAGGGATATGTACATAGGGGTTATTTTGTAAAAACAAATTGAATTCTTTCTTGATTACATAACTGGACACTTATTTTGAACCAAAATGAAAAAGCAAATTGGTCACTTATTGTGAACCGGAGGGAGTAACAAGTAACCATTCATGGAAAAAAAAATGAGATCAATATCCTAAAAAATGAGTGTTACTAGATATATTGATATTATAAAGTTCTTTATATTTTCTGCTATATAAATTAAAAGCTATTGATATATATACACAAAACATCATCTGCTTTGCTAGAAAATAATCATGGTTTCTTGTTTTTGACATGGTCTGGTTTGTCCTCCTCACTTTCAAGGGAAACTAAGAGCAGAATATAATAGTACAAAAGAAGATGAAGAAAGTTGGAAACTTTAGAACAATAAGTACAAGAATTCTCAGCAATCTTATATTTATTCAACTCAGTTCTCTTTGTATCTGTTCAGGTGAATGAACCTTGTCTCTTTCATTTGCACAACTTTCTTTTACAAAAGGCTACCTTATTCTTTGTTATTCTTCTATTATTCCTCTGCTTTGTAATTTTGATTCATAGAATTTGCATGTTAAGTTGAAAGCCAAACTTAGGAAGTAGTAATTGCAGCTCATTTTCTTTAACAGAATATGTTACTTCAACTCTGTTAAACAGGCTATAATGCTCGGACTCTTCGAAAATATCGTCGGGTGTGTGTTGGATCTTCCAAAAGTAGTGTATCTTTTAAGGATCTGACGCGAGTTCGGCAGTATTTTGGAGATTCCGTACAACATAGTTAAACAAAACCATTCTAGATATCTTTTCACATTTTACACATGATTAGACATTCAAGCCACTAGCTCTTTTGAGTTATGTTGCACGGACTCTCCAAAAATATTGCTGGACTCGTGTCGGATCCTCCAAAAATGCACTATTCTTCGAGGATCCAGTATGCACCCGGTGATCTGAAGAATCCGAGCAACAATAGCTTTTTTTTGGGTAGGGGATTGGTTTGGGGGGGGGGGGGGGTTGTACAACTACATTTCTTGTAGAGATAACTATTTCCAGTAACTTATAGGAGTATTACCTAAAGTTTATAAAGTAGTCATAATTACATAAAACCAGAAATGTCATCCCCATAGGTTATAATAGTCGTCGAGCAGCCCGCTGCACAAAGCATTTCGCATTCACGCAGGGTCCGGGGAAGGCCCGCACCCCAAGGGGTGTAACGTAGGAAGCCTACCTTGACACAATCATCAATGGCTGATTCTACGGCTCGAACCCGTGACCTATAGGTCACACGGATACAACTTTACTGTTGCTCCAAGGCTCCCTTTCGACCGTAGGTTACAATAGTCTGTTCCCAAATATAAACTTTTGATGCACATTTAACTAGTAGTTTGTTTTGACAGTAAAAGTTCCTTTGCTCCTTACAGGTTCAAATGCAACACCAAAAGAATTCATAGAGCAGAAGAAAATGTTATACCAAGTAGAGGAGAAATTTGAGAAGTCTAACACAATTTCTAGTAGTCAAAAGGATATAACAACTCCTATAACAACAGTTCCAACAGGAAATCCTACCACATCCACTCCTGTCCTGAATCCAACAATCTCAAATCCAGATTCGACTCCCACTGGCCCGACTAATTCAGTAATGACACCTGCGATAACCAATTCTCCGGTGCCTTCAGGCGCGAGCTGGTGTATTGCTAGCCGAGCTGCTTCGCAAATTGCTCTGCAGGTTAGTGGAGGATCCAGAGGCGGATCCAGAATTTAATTTCAACCTTTAAGGCTATTAGCATTGAACTCATTGTGTTTTTAAGCTATGGGTTCAGACCTATAATTTGTTGCAATTTGAATAGATTTTTGCATATAAATCTATGCTCCGCGTCAGAAGTACTGGGTTCAGATGAACCTAGTGGTCCAGTGCTACATCCGCCACTGGGCGGATCTAGACTAGATGCAACAAGTTCAAAAGAACACAATGTATCTAGCTCGGACTTTATAATCCACCGACTTTAAATCCTGGATTCGCTATAACTGCAGGTTGCTTTAGACTATGCTTGTGGCTATGGTGGTGCTGATTGCTCAGAAATTCAGTCTGGTGGCAGCTGCTACAAACCTAACACTCTCCGAGATCACGCTTCGTATGCATTCAACAACTACTACCAGAAAAATCCAATTCCAAATAGCTGCAATTTTGATGGCGCTGCTATTACTACCAATACTGACCCCAGTAAGCTAGTCACATTTGTTATTAGTCAAGTACTATGTGTCTATGTCGTTATGACGTATTACTTATTGAAATGCGTCACCATATCATTTAAAAGTTTAAACTGTTTAAGAGAACATTCTTTTAATTACTTTAATTATATTATGTTGTGTGCAGGTGGTGGTTCATGTCAATATCCATCAACAAGGTAACTTAATTCTTATATACTTCTTTTCTTTAACAGAGAAATTCTGACTTATCTTGGGAATTTTACAGCACAAATGCATCTATTCTGAACATAAGTAATGCAAGTGGATCGAGAGTATTTGGCGCTGGACCAACCACACCATCTACCTCATCAGCTGTCGCGACAAGTAGCTCGTTAACTTATCACTTCTACATTTTAGCTTACCTTATGATACTTCAAAGAAGATATGAAACTGTCTTTTCCTTTTCCATTATGAAACTGTTTAAATGAAAAGGCAATACTTACATTTGGAAAAGAATCAATCAATCAACTACGCCTTATTCCTAAACAAGAAAGTGTGCGATTCATCCTACAATCATCACGCCAAACATAAATTCTTAATATCCCTTGCACAACACTGTATTCCCCTGAAAGGATGACTAACTACAAAACTCGCTGTAGGAGCACAAGCGTCCAATGTTGATGATCCACCATTGTACAGAAAGAATGGATCTTGCAACAACTCGTCTGCAGATGGCCTAACAGACATGGGAAGTAAACACTTCTCAATGATATCCTTCACTCTTGAGTCTTTAACCTTTCCAAGAGATGCAGGTTTTTCACCAGTAATATACACTTTCCTAAGTATTTGCCCTTGATTGATGCATTCCTTATATGGATATTCACCGGTAACCATCTCAAGAAGACACATCCCGAATGCATATATATCCACCAGTTCATTGTATTCACCATCGTAGAGCTCAGGAGCCATAAATTGAGGCGTTCCCTTAACCTCTGTGACGAAATCACCCTCCATAAGACGAATCGCCAACCCAAAATCTCCGAGCTTAACCTGTTTCCCACCACTCTGAACAAAAATATTATCACACTTGATGTCTCTATGAATGATCTTCGGGTTCTGTCCATGAAGAAAGCTCAAACCTTCAAGAATCTGCCTACCCCAGTTCTTAATATTCCCCAAGTCAATACCAGTCCCGTTATTACTCTTCAACATATACTTTGTCAAACTGCCCGAAGGGAATAATTCTGTGATCATGTTTAGAGTTTTGGCCTCGGAATCAAACCAGTAAGAGAGGCACTTCATAACCCTCTCATGGTTTAAAGATTGCAATAGAACAGCCTCAGAGAACAACTTTTCTGGTGTTTTTAATAATGCTTTACCATCTTCTCCATGAAAACTTATTTGGTTCCACGCAATTTCAATGTTTTGAACTTGATCAAACCCTAGGTACACCTCTTTAAAAGCGCCTTCACCTAACACGTCACTGTATCTAACGAACCTACCACATGGAGATTTCTCTTCAACTCTGCGTGACCCGTAATCCATCGTAGCTTAAACTCGGACTAGAAGAAAACAAAAAACCAGAGTGTGTGACGTGGAAAAAAGATCAAAGCGGGTGTTCAGAGAATGCTTCGATTGCAGCCGAGAAAGAATCCATAACTAACGACAAATTTGGCTGAAAACGCATGATGTTTAATAGCTGAATATGAGACATTGATGATGATAATCTCAACCTTTTCATCTCATGAATTTATGCATTAAACAAAAACGATGAAATTGAGTGCCGAATGATGAGATTAATGTAGATAAAATATAGTGAAGACAGGCGTAATATTTCTTTTTCGTTCGAACTTAGTAGTTATATAGGATTAGTGAAAATACTTCCTTAATTGAGTTAAAGTAGAATTAGTGAAAAGTTAGGATTTCATTCCGTTTCAATTATTTTTTTCTTTCATAAAATTAATTACAAGCTTCTGCCTTCACGGTAAAGATTTCCTAATTTAGTTTGGATTAATCTTCCCTACAATTATTTTCCTCATTTGACTTGAATTGAAAGATATAAGAGATTTGAACTTCGAAATTTTCGTAGATTCTTTATAGAGATAATAATAAGTAGGTTCATTTAGGTAATACTTAGTAAACTTTAAAATCAAAATTTGGTTATTTTCGAAAAAGAAAAGAAAAAATAAGTGCATTGCCTTGTTTAGTCACAAAGAGGAATTTTAATTACGAAATTACTTCAAAAACTAATTAAGTTATTGTTAAATAAGGTAAAAGAATTCTATTTGAATGTGTTCTTAAATAATTTTAAAAGGGATGCTTTCTGCAACATATTGCCTCTGTCCTGTGTTCTTATTTTTAAAAAAGGCAATATATCTTTTTTTTTTTTTCTCTTTCTTGGTTACAAAAATAAGGGATTATAATCCTGGAATAAAATAAGTGAAGTAAAAAATAATTAATTCCGAAATTGTGGAGTGCTGAAGGTGATAATCAACAATATCAGGAGAACATGAATTATGTGGCCAACTACGGGGGACCGAGACCAGGTGGTCAGAATTGGGGTCAACAGAATCAACAATATAGACCAACTCAGTAGCAGTACAATAACAACAATAACCATGGGGCTATGCGATCACAGGGGCAAATGGTGCCTTACCAAAGGTAACAAGGGTACAACCAACTAAATCAGCAGCAGGCTTATCAACAACCTCCACAATAACAGATTGTGAGACAGGAAGATGGGTTTGCTAAACTTGAGGGAATGATGCAACAAGTGATTAGTGATAACTAGGGATTTTGACGTGTTTCATGCTCCTTCTTGCTTACGCTTTGATTATAAATTCTTACAAAATAGTCCCAAAATGCTCATAAGTTGTGCTTGACTGCAAGTTTGATCAACAAAGTGAGGAGATGTCAAAGATCGGCTCAAAAGGAGTGAAACCTGTACAAGTACCAAAGACAAGACAACTCAGGACAAACAGGCCTAGTGCGGCCGCACTACACTTTCTGCGGTCCGCACTAGGGAGATTCAGAGACCTGGATTTTAAGGCATCAAAGCAGTGCGGCCGCAGTAGATATTATGCGGCCCGCACTGAAGACACCGCGGCTGCACTACCATTTTATGCGGTCCGCGGAACCAAACTTCAGAGAGATGTCAAGTGCCAAAGTTCAAGCCTGTGCGGTCCACGGTCGTGTTTGTGCGGGCCGCGCTAGATGCCTCCGCAGCCGCAGTCTATTCTGTGCGGTCCGCGAAGCCTGGGTTTAGAGAGTTGATTTTTCAGAGTCAAGAGCCTAGTATGGCCGCACACCATTTTGTGCGGTCCGCACTGACCCTGCAGGGGCAATTTTGTCTAGTTTTTCCAGCTCAGTATAAATAGAACATTTTTTCCATTTTTAGGGCATCAGCTATTATCAGATATTACAATACGGTAGCTGAGCTCGTGAGACAATATTTCTTAGCCATTTTTGGCATCTTTACGTAGTTTTAATCATTGAAACTTTGTATTTACTTTAGTAATTAATTAATATGTCTTTCTCTTCATCTATTTCTCTGATTTTATCTTCAAGCATGAGTAGCTAGACCCATTAGCTAGGGTTGTGGCTCAACCCTAGTGTGGGTAATTGATGGGTGTTGTGATTTAAGGTTAGATTGATTATGGGTGTTTGTTATTTGGGTCAATTTTATGGTTTAATTTATGAATTAGTGGTTGCAAACACTAATTTATGCTAAGTTGACTTGGGCTCTTCTTGAGAAAGAGAGCCTAAGTCTCCAAAATTGACTCAACAAGGAATTGGGATGGACTCAAGAGATTTGATAGTCCCAATTAAAGGGTTAAATCTCGAGAGAGTAATTACCCGACTTGAACCCTAGTTGCTTGGGCAAATATGCATACCCAATTAGTCTCGAGAGAGTCAATTGTGCAAAACCACTCTTTCTACCGAGAGGTGTAGAGTGGGTAGTATTGAGCAACGGTTATAACATATTTCCCCAATCATGTCAATCGTGCCCTAGATGCAATTACCCGTCAATTAACCACCTAGGTGAAGGTCACTACCCTAGTGCCTTTTAAACCATTAGATACAACTTGTAGCAATTTACTCTTAGTCTAATTTAGTTGCAATTATAATTTGTAGTTTGATCATTGTAGAATATAACGAAAACCCAAAAATGAATAGAAGACCAATTAAGAGCATACACGCAATCCTAAGCTAAATAGATACTCGATTCCAATCCTAGCTCTCTGTGGATTCGATCCCGACTCACAAATCGGGTAAAAGCTATTGCGACCCTCTCTAGCTACTTTTTAGTGGTGCGGAGTTGGCTGCAATCAATTAGGTCCACTGGAAAACTAGCCGACAGAGTAGATTCACATGAGTCAGCGACAAAGAATATTGAGATCCAATTAGGACAGATTTCCATGGCCCTAAACAATCGTCCTCATGGGATGTTACCTGCAGACACCCAAATCAATCCAAAAGAGCAGGGCCCGAAGCAACTGATGGCAATGAGTCTCCGAAATGGTAGAGACTTAGATCTGGAGCAAGAAATCGCTCGCGAAAGCAGACCGACTGAGACACTGGTGCCAGTACCCATTGAGATAGATAATTCAGCAGGGTTAACTGAGGTGACGGTACAGAACACCAACAAAGAAGAAGAGGTTGTGAAAGAGACTGAGGCTGCACCGGAACCGACAGTAGAAGCAGTGCCTGAACAAGAGAAAAACCAAATCACAGGGAAGAAGCGACCTCCAGCACCATTCCCACAGAGATTGGCCAAGTATCAGAAAGATGAGCAGTACAAGAAATTGTTGGAGATGTTGAAGCAAATTCAGGTAAACATTCCATTGATTGATGCTTTAAAGGAGATGCCTGGTTATGCAAAGATGATGAAGGACTTGATGTCCCGCAAGTTCGACTTTCAAGACTTGGCCACGGTTACACTAACTCAGACCTGCAGTGCTGTTGTGACGAGACCCATACCTGAGAAGTTGTCTGACCTAGGGAGTTTCACAATCCCTTGCACAATAGGCAACTTTGCATTTGCTAAGGCACTATGTGATCTAGAAGCAAGCATAAACCTTATGCCCCTAGCTATCTACAAAAGGCTAGGCATTAGAAGAGCTAGACCCACGTCTATGCTACTATAGCTGGCTGACCGAATAGTGAAGAGGCCCTCTGGGATTTTAGATGATGTATTGGTAAAAGTTGGGAAGTTTGTGTTCCCAGCAAATTTTGTCATCCTTGACTGTCGGGTTGACGAGGAAATTCCCATAATTTTGGGAAGACCATTCTTGGCCACTGGGAGAGCCTTAATTGATTATGAAACTGGAGAGCTCAAGATGAGATTAAATGATGAAGAGATAACATTCAACGTGCAGAAATCTATGCGGAGACCAAGTGAATTTGCTAATTGCTCTCTAATAGATGCGGTGGATGTAGTATTGGAGGAGGACGATGAAGCATTGAACATTAAAGACCCTCTAGCAGCATATCTCATGAACTTAGATGAAGATAATGGTGAAGACCTAGCGGAGTGGGTACTTGCTCTTGAAGGGCAAGGTTTTTGGAGAAGGGAGCTCGAATTTGAGCCCTTGCACTTAGAGGAAAGAAAAACTCCTCCAGCTAAGCCATCAATAGAAGAGCCACCAAAGTTGGAACTAAAACCACTGCCATCCCATCTCAGGTATGCATTCTTAGGACCTGACTCAACTTTACCTGTTATTATCTCAGCTAGTTTGTTAGATGTGCAGACACAACAACTTTTGCAGGTACTAACTGAGTGCAAGACTGCAATTCGGTGGACCATTACAAACATTAAGGGGATCATCCCGACCTTCTGTATGCATAAGATTCTGCTGGAAGATGGGCACAAACCGTACAGAGAACAACAAAGAAGGCTGAACCCCAACATGAAAGAAGTGATGAAAAAGGAAGTGATTAAATGGTTAGATGCCGGAATCATATTCCCCATCTGTGACAGCAACTGGGTTAGCTCAGTGCAGTGTGTACCAAAAAAGGGAGGTATGAGGGTAGTGAAAAATGAGAAGAACGAGTTGATCTCTACACGAACAGTCACTGGTTGGCGAATATGTATGGATTACATGAAGTTGAACTTGTCCACCAGGAAGGACCATTTCCCACTGCCATTCAATGATCAGATGCTAGATAGATTGGCAGGGAGGTCTCACTTTTGCTTTCTGGATGGGTACTCGGTGTATAATCAGATTTCTATTGCCCCGGAGGATAGAGAGAAAACGTCGTTCACCTGCCCTTATGGAGTCTATGCTTTTCCGCGAATGCCGTTTGGCCTATGCAGCGCACCCGCCACATTCCAAAGGTGCATGATGGCCATCCTCACAGATATGGTAGAGGAGATAATGGAGTTTTTCATGGATGACTTCTCGGTGGTGGGGAACTCATTCGATGATTGCCTTGTGAACTTGAGAAGAGTTTTGAAAAGGTGTATCGAGACTAATCTGGTACTCAACTGAGAAAAGTGCCATTTCATGGTACAGGAAGGTATTGTCTTGGGGCACTTAGTATCAAGTAAAGGTATTGAGGTGGATCGTGCAAAGGTTGATGTGATTGAAAAGCTTCCACCATCCACCTCCGTCAAAACAATCAGAAGTTTTCTTGGGCACGCCGGTTTCTATAGGAGATTTATAAAAGTTTTTTCCAAAATTGCTAACCCCTTGTGTAAATTGCTTGAAAAAGATCACCCTTTTGTGTTTTCTAATGACTGCAGGGTAGCTTTTGAGGAATTAAAGAAGAGAGTGGTAACAACACCTATCATAGTTTCC